AGAGTTCATTTACAGACAGCTTATAGGAAAAGGACCTCTATCAAGATTGTTTGTGAAAGTAATGACTAAATATTTGTAAGTAACTTAATAGGTCTGAGGCCTGTAATTACTGTATGTTTAAACATGAGCATAGATTTAAGTAGAATAAGGATTTAGGAAGTAGAATTTCCATTCTTTGTTACCTGAATCAACTGACTTATAATACAAGAGTTTGTTTAAAGGTGTGTTTAAATCATACATTACAGAAGCATAATTTCTTTCTTAGGACAACTCCAGAGGACTTACTCACTCAAGCAGAAACTCTAATTTATTTTTTGTTCTAGACTTTGGACTGCATATGCTCTTCTCTTCTTGGCCAGAAAACACTATATCTGGATCTCTCAGACACCGGCTGCTCAGGCTTGAAAGTCATAATCTACTCATTTGCTCTCAAATACTTCAGGAAGTTCAGGAAGGATGAACATCCTTCATGCTTCTGGGTTTTCTCAGGGGTCACATAACAGTTAAAGCAAGCAATCTGAAGATTTTTTTCTTTATAAGTAATCAACTCGCTTTCATTACATAAAAATTGTTGTTAAAAAAATAAATAATAAATAAATAAAATAAGTAAATAAATAAATAAATATGAATAGTGAACCAAAAAGCTACCCGAGAAGCCTTGCCAATGTTTCATCATCATGCAGATTTCTTTAGTTTGCCACACACACACAAAGTCCTTGCCGAATTTTTTTCTCCTTGTCTTTTCTCTCCCTTCTAAAATGACTGATATAAAAAAAAAATCCTCACTTTGTTTCCTCCAAATCTTGGCCCCATGACTGAAAGAAAATATTACTTACAAAGACATAATGCAGCAGACATGTTGCCTTCTGTTCAATTCACTAATACCACTGACATTACGCCACAGTATCACTTGTGGTGAATGGCGTTAAGAAACAGTAAAATTACTATAAAAGCATCAAAACTAGCATTTATGCCCCTTTTCCTCGCCTGTTAAGTGATTGTTATTCAAGCTTCTAAAAAACCAAGTGTTGTGTCATGAAGCATTAGTTGCTAAGCATTATGCTGTAGAAAGAGTTCCTTTTTCCTGAGTTTTGATGAAAGCAATCTACCATTCTGTTGTCCATCTAGAACAGTCTCTCTAAGTGGAAGAGGGTTGACTGTGAACCCCATCTCTCCAGCATAGAGCCTTCAGGAACAACTGCCAGCCTAAAATACACGCATGGAAATTGTTGGAGCAGCACTGAGTGAGGTCTGATCTGATTTCACAGATATTTTCTAATGCTCTAAAAGCTAACATCTGAAGAACAATACATAAGAGAGTCAAGTAATAAAATCCCATTAGATAAAGCATACTCCAGAAAATCCCTACACTGCCTTCATCTCTTATCCCCAGCTATACAGAATCATAGAAAAGAACCACACAATCATGTTCAGGTACTACCCTTTCTGCTTTGAAAGAAAGATCAGACTACAGGTTTTGTACCTAGACAAGTTTATTGAAAGATTAATGCAAGATGTCTGCAACCAACTATCATTACACTGATTGCTAATGGTGATCAAGTTTTAAGGTCAGATGATCAGTCTGCCCTCAGGGAAACTCGAGTTCCTTCATTCTGTGCTCCTTCTAGATGCCTGCAGGCCAGTCTTACAGTAGAGAAAAGTGGTCTACACCTGTCAATAAGCATATGTCAAAGTAGAACATGTTTCCACTTTGAACATTCTCTTGTGTTTTCTGAACACAGACTCATATTCATCAGTCATATCTAAAGAGCTGTTAGGAGGCCACTAGTGCCTGCCATAAATCAAAACTAGAACCCATGTCGGAGCTCCTCTGAAATCCAGTTGACCAGAAAACACTCAAGCCCTCTGTTGGGATCCATTCATGGCCAGACATTAACAGTTCGCTGGCACCAGGCCAATTTACCTTTATAAATGGTTTAGGATCACTGACAACTCAGCATTTCTTTCTTAGCTACTTGATGTAAACAGCCCATGACCAATCACCTCCTATGTTTGTGTCTAGGGGTGACTGAAGAAAAGCCACACATCACAGATATATCCCAGAGGTCTCTTTAGAAACAAGATCTCAGTCAGCCAATTGCAAGGCCCTCTATTTCACTCTACCCTCAGGACTAGAACAGAGGCTGAAATACTTCCCAGTGTGTTGGTTCCTCAATGCTGTCTACTTCCAGATTCTGATCTTTTTTTTATCTGTTGATTTCACCTCCCGGCTCCATACCTTGGAGTTTAATTAAGATCAATAGCAAATGATGTAGGATGTTGCAGTTCTTTTACAGAAAATAAGTTGGAAAAGTCTGAGAAAAATCTATAGAAATTAAAAAGCAGCTTGTTTCTTGCTTCGATTGCCTTGTTTTGACAGCACCTCCGGCATTTGCAGGTTTAATTTCTCTTTCAAGCTAGAGGCATAAAGAAAAATGTCAAAGAAAAATATTTTGTCCAGACTCAGGTAGTAATTTTGAGGTAATTACAGTGCTGCATGTTCAGCCTGAAGTTTTCCAGGTAATTAGAGGTTTAGGTTATCTGCCGTTCTGTAGTAGGTATTTCAATTCCAACTCATCTCTGTTAAAATACCCCCCCCAAACACATAGAGAACAACATTCCCTGGATCAGAGTAAAGAGATTTTTTTCATATAGCCTAGTACACCTATAGCTTTCCTAGAAATTCTGGTAAATAAACTAAACCAGTTCTTCTGAGTTAGAGAATGTCTCCCTGTGATAAAGCATGGCATTAAGGTATTTCTGAGGCCATAGAAATCAGTTATTCTATTTATTTAATTTAGAATGTGACATCAGCACCAGATAGGCAGTTGCAGTTCATCTTATCAGGTGCTTCGACATTAACAACTGGTCTAGAAAGGCCAAGGTTAATTTTGTTCTGATGTGTTACAGCCCTAGGCTTCACCACATCACTGTTAACCAGCAGTCAGGTTTGCCTTAGGTCGCAGACACTAGAAGAAGAATATTTGCAGATCAGGGTAGCACAGACAATCACTTTTTTTTCGTTTTATATAGTACCATTCATTCAGCCAAAGTCCCTCGCTCAACCAAAATGAAGTACCCTGGCAGGTTTTGAACTCTTTCAAATAAATGCTGTAAATAACACTGAAATAAACATTTTCAACTACAAGCATTTTGTTTTGAAAAATGATGACTAAATATTTCAACTATTTCAATTATTCAGGACTTAAAGCAAACCAGCTAAGCAGACACAAACTTGCACACTGCTTCAGAAAACTTAAATGTACTCCCCCTTTTAAAATAGCTGTTAAAAATTTCACCTAGACCCAAATGAGAACAATGTCAAAAAATGTATGGCTCACATACACCAATATAAATACACATATGTTATCAAGGCTACATGTATAGCCTTGAATAGATGGAATCAAACCAGTCATTTTAGAAATTCAATTACTTATTGCAAAAAAATAGAAATATTAGCAAACTTTAGCAACTGCCTTTTCCAGATCTATCCTAAACACTGAGAAAGCCAAAAAAAATATCTTAACCGTTAACTATAGTAAAATCTACACTTTAGCTATGGATTAATTCTAAAGTGCTATTCATCATTTTCATATAGCACTTAGAGAAAGGAATATTGCTTAAAGGATTAATTTTTGCACCTTGCTAAAATGCTGAACTCGCTATTGAAGTATCACCACCACGACCAGCAGAGGATGCTAAAAAACCCCAGCAGTGCAGCAGTTACCCAGTTCAAATTCTCATTTTATCAAATTAAGAGCCTGGTGCTGCACCACTGATTTAATGAATACTTTCACCTCTCACACTAATGGCATCTTTTCAGCTTTCTGAAGAAACAATAATATATTATGGATTCGCAATCACGAAATGCATTGTGACTACAAATTCTATTTCATATATCTCTCCACATATAATTAAGATTCAAATTCCTCGCACCGTATTTGAGCTATAAGCAACCCTCCAAGGGTTTTTAAATGAGCTTTAATGATCGCTCCACATGAGGATTTTGAATACTAACACTATCAATAAAAATGGTTCTATAAAATATGCCATCTCCACAGATCTATTTCTCATAATATAATGTTATTGTTATCATTGTGAGGAGCTATATCATCCTGTGAGCAGAGGTAGATAGGATAGTATCCATTAGAAAAAGCAAACATTATATTGAAAACAGAATTGCAAGGCTCATTAGTATTTCCTGCTAATATATCACTAAGGCTGGAGTCCAGCAGACTTTTCCTTGTTTACTTTGCCTTAAAAATGTTCACCCTGGGAGACGCATATGAACATTCAAGTAACATTTACATAGCACTCTAGTGTGCCCATGCTCAAGGATAGCTATTCTATTTCCACCTACTGGCATATTGCCCATGAGACCTGAGAATTGTTCCCTACAGCGGTGACACCTGAGGAGCACCCACAGCACCTCACTGCTGTCACTTCTGTAACACTGCTCCCCTTCTCAGAAAAAAAAGAACCAACACGCAAACAAAATCCCAAACTCCTTTCACAAGGGCAGTTACACCACAGGCTAGCTGAATACCCTTGATTATTCACCTTATACCAACACTGTATTGCTTTCAGTCTTCTCTTTACAAAATGCAACAAATTATTTTAAGTGAAAGCTTGTGAAAACAAAAAACGGATGCACATTGCAATAAACTTAGCTCACAATTATAACAATTCAGGTCTAACCTTGGTCCTAACTCTACTTCTCCAAGAGGCAGCCAACACAGTCCTAGGCAGAGCTGCAACGTAACAAAGGAAACCTTATGAAGTTCAACAAGGGTAAATGCAAGGCCCTGCAATCTGGGAAGGAAGTGCAAGACAAGTCAGGCACCATCTGCCTGAGGAGTAGTTCTGTGGAGAAATCCCTGGGGGCCGCCAAGATTTCCAAATCCCCTGGACAAAGCCAGGCAGTGGGGTTTACTGACTACCTTGGGCTTCTCCAGTCATCCCAACATCCACACACCCACCCCTCAGGTTTCAGGGCTTACCACCCAGGAATTCCAGCCTTGGTAAAGGCTGCTGCATGCACTCCTCCTGCTGCAAAAGCCCTTCTTGGAGCGAGAGTCTGCAGACACCCCAGCCCCCAAGGGCCTCATGGCTGTCCTCCCCACACTGCATACAGCTGTGAGTTCTGTAACCCTGTTCGAGACCAAAATCAAATTTCTGAATGAAATTCATTCTGAGGAGAGGACCATCAGAGACCTCGATAATTCCAATTTCATGATTAACATACTTCCTCTTTGATATGGTTTGAAGCTGGCTCCCTGCCAAGTCTCCAAACCTTACCACCAGAAGTCCCCCCCCCCCAACCTCAGGGAGAAGAGGGAGAAAAAAACTAAGAAAAAACCCGAAACGAGAGAGAAACAACCAAAGTGAGATGTATAAATATATTTACACTTATATACAATTTCACAAGGGAAAGGGAAGGGGGAAGGGAAAAGGAACAAAACTAAAATAAAATATATAGATATCCCAATTAGTGACCCAATATCTAACAACTAAAAAGTTAGCAAAGAAAAATAGCTCACTACTCCCCTGGGACAATTGAGAGTCGCTCCGGAACGATCGCTGGCAACCTCTGTCTCCCAAGGTCGACAAGGCCCAACCAGGCCTTGCTCCCCAACACGGCAGACTCAACAGCAGGGGACCTGCACCTCCAAGCCTCCGGAAGGAAAGAGAGCGAAGGCCTCTCCTCCTCTCTTCTTATAATCTGGCTTACGTAAAAATCGTAGGGAATACTGGGTAAATCTGGACCCTTCCTTGGTTACAAACTGGTCCCCAAGGAAGGCCTAGCCCAAACCACCACACCCTTCTTTCCCCCAAAATGATTTACAACAGAATTGACTAATGTAAGATTTTCACTAGCCTGGTGCTTTGCATTTTATCATCAAAACCAAAACTGATACAATGAATGTTTGATAATAAAATAGCATCCAAAACCATGCAATTCCCCAAAATGACCTTTATAAAACGTAAGGAAAACAGAAGTGAGTTACTTTGAACAAAGCATATTCTTATGTATTTAAGGTATTACAGAGATTGCCCTTCCAGGAGTAATTTACAGAAAACATATTGAAGTCTTGATTTAAAAACAATGTGTCAAATAAAATATGCAAGCATACAGTCTAAATAAGGCTTTTCAGCTTCTCTCTAGAAAAGGAAATTGTTCCCTGAAAGCACACTGGAGGCAAAGAAGACGCCTTCACAACAATTTAAATTGTGTTCCTTAGAAGTTCTGCACCTCTAAAAAAGTCATTTTGCTTTTTTGTGACTCTGTCATCGTTAGCTTTTATACACTGGCTATCTAACAGATTTTTTAAAATAGAAAAATATATAAGGAGTCTTGAGTTAATTTTAAAATCAATAGAGGCCTTGGGAGTCATTGAAGATGAACAAACTCAGAAAGAGCCAGTCCTTTAGCTTCAATTTTGCAAACAAAGTTTCTAACCAATTTTACTTGTGGTCAGTCCTGACATCAGAGAGGCAGGACTTGGATGGAGCATAGCATAGTGGCAATCAACGTTTGGGACTTTCTTATACTGAAAACCCTGAAACACATTAATATATGAAAGTCTTTCCAAAATTATATATTCTATCTCTGGTTTTATAGCTCTCTATAAGATTAATTCTTCTTTATGAAAAAATGGGTTTTCTTCTGAGGCACTTACATCCAAACAGGAGTTCAATTTCCACATAATCTAAATTGAAGTGTAGTGAATGCAATACTCCCACAAAAATCAATATTCAGTCACCAGAATGCTTAGCTTTACATTGGGCTGAATGCAATATGAGCTGGGCAAAAGTGCACAGCTCACAAGTTTGCAGGAATGTTTGTGTAGGTCAGAGATTAGTTCAGAACAGACTTTATGAACTTGAGCATATTAAATAAATGTAATACTGCTTTGACAAAACCAGTACATCTAAGTGCTGTAGATGCATCAGAAAGCATTCTTTGTTTAGAAGGTATTGTTCTTAAGATTTGTCTTCACAGTCTGTATTACACTAAAATTAATATATACATCTTTGAATTATTTTTCCTCATTAGCAAGGGCGTAGAAGCACTTTTCTGCTTCAGCTTATTCCAGAAAAGTTCTTCCCAAAGGCATCCGAAATCCCCAATAAGTTATTTTACAGCATTTCAGATACCGAATCCAACATCAAAGATCCAGTCCAGAAAAAAATGCTAAGAGTCATAATGATTGTTCTTTTATCCCCCCCCAACAGCAATCTTCAGTTTTCGATACTAAAACATACATAAACTCCAGACTGTTCTCTTGTGTGCTCAGTAGGGTGCAGTCTCCAGCAGTGGGGAAAACAGAAGTAGAAGCTTAACTTGCATTCAAAGTGGTGACAAGAAGATCTTCTGCATAATTACACTGATGCTAGTCTCCATGATACTCGAAATTATTAATACTCCCTGCAGGGAAGGGAGGGTGTATAACTTCAGGGAAAAATTAATGGGATTTACAAAGTCAGCATTACTAAATTTATTGTGTCCTATGAAGAAGTAGCAAGGAAAATGTACACAATCTTGCAAAAAAAAAAAAAAAAAAAAAAAGAAAAAAGGAAAAAAAAGTCTTTCCAATATTTGTCATCATACTTTTCTTCCCCCAGTATTTTATTTGGCTTTCTTCTCTATGACAATTGCCTGAAAGTTACCTTTTGTGATTAAAATCACTGATATATCAGAAAAGTGATGCTATAGCCACAACCAGTAAAATTACTGGATATATTTTTCATTCAGAATATTCTTTCTGGCACAAAGGATAATCAAATTAATTTTGTGCTCCCCGCAGTGAATGGAAGGGGGCTTATTTACACAAACTGACATATGTAGCATTTGTTACACAAATATTTACATATATTCCCTTAAACAGTATTATGTTATTTTTCTGTAAAGCTAATGCCAAGTAGATCATGTAAATGCAGGACAGTTTCTACTAACGAAGACTAGAAGAGGCCTCCTGGATCATGAACATAACTTCTGTGCTGCAAAATTCAGTTATAACAAACTCTATAGATTTATGAAGGCTCCTTTGCAGAAACAAGTTCAGACTTTTTTTTTCCCCCACTCCCATCAAGGCATGTACAATAATAATTTCCTCTTACAACTAGATTGCCTCCTAATATGTAGCCCAACTCCACTGTCTGCTTAAACAAAGTTCTCTTAGTTATCTACTTCCCTCTCTCTTTTCCTTTTATTTAACCCTTCTGCATATTAATAAAGAGAAATGGCACGCCTGGACAGGTTCCATTTTGCTAGAATAAACAAACCAAAAATCTCTGGGTCCTAAGATGCCCTCAGAAATGGGAGAGGAAAAACAGTTTTCACTTTGCAATTTCAACAGTGTATGCATTAATGCAAAGACTTACCCTTTTGTTCTGGCATCGGTGTTTCAATGTCTCCTGCCAGATTTCATAGGATCAGGATCAGTTGCCTCTGCTGCAATGTCTACAGCATTAGTAGTACATACTTTTCCTATAATATACTAAAGCGACAAGCCACATCTCATAGCAAAAAGTTTCTTAAGATAACAACCTCACACTCTATACTGTTAAATTGCACCTGGCCCTACTAATATAGTCCTTTTTCTGAACACTAGTGATCTGTAAAACCAACAGCTCTTACGGAGATCGACAGCCTTGTGTAAGAAATAAATGCAACCTATCCCATTTTTCAGCTCAGGTCACCAATAAAAACAGGCAAGACTCAAAACCCCTACAGGGTTAGTGTGGCAGAACAGACACCATTATGGATCTCCTTAGCTTTCCTGAGCATCTCTCCATATTAACTCATCTAGAGAATCTGTCAGCTACATAAACACTATGGAGCAATAGCTTAGAGAGCAGTCCTGTGGAAAGGCACCTGGAGGTCCTGGTCAATGGCAAGTTGAATATGAGTCAGCAGTGACCTGGCAGCCAGGAGGGCCAACTGTGTCCTGGGGGGCATCAGGCAAAGCATCACTGACTGGTCAAGGGAGGGAATTGTCCCAGTCTGCTCTGCACTGGTGTGGCCTCACCTCGAATACTGGGTGCAGTTTTGGGCACTGCAATATAAGGATATAAACCTCTGAGAGAGCATTCAAAAGAGGGCTACAAAGATGGTGAAAGGACTTAAGGGGAAGCTGTATGAGGAGAGGCTCTATGAGGTCACTTGGTCTGTTCAGCCTGGAGAAGAGGAGACTAAGAGGAGACTTCATTGTAGTCTACAGCTTCCTCCTGAGGGGAATCAGAAGGGCCAGCATTGATCTCTTCTCTCTGGCAAACAGTGACAGAATGGCCTGAAGTTTTGTCAGGGTAAGTTTAGGTTGGATAATAGAAAAAGGTTTTGTACTCAGAGGGTGGTTGGGTGCTGGAACAGGCTTCCCAGGAGAAGTGGTCAAAGCACCAAGCCTGCCAGAGTTCAAGGAGTGTTTGGATTATACTCTCAGGCACACGGTGTGACTCTTGGGACTGTTCTGTGCAGGCCCAGGAGTAGGACTTTGACGATCTTCATGGGACCCTTTTAACTCAGGATATTCTATGATTCATATTTGTCAAAAATTAGACTGAAGCATTAAACATTTCTAAATGCTACTGATTTTTAATTAGCAATCCAAGACTGAACTTCCTTTTTTGTTTGTGTTTGTTTGGGTTTTTTTCCCTTCTGGTGGCTTTTCTAAACCCCTGGGGCAAAATCTATTATCCCAAATGGATTTTTCACTGTAATGCTAAATTGAGCATCCCAAATTTGTAGTACACTAATTCGGCTCAATTTGATAAGCATTTTTGATCAGCAAGGCTTCAAGTGCTTGCATAGGAAAGGTGTAGGGCTATTCGACTTGAGTTTAACTCTGTAGGTTTCATTTCAGAACAATATACAAACTGGATTTCTCCTCAGCGTTATCCCTCTTAGGCAAGAAATGACCTCACTCACAGGAGTGCAGGGAACATGAAAGATGGTCCAGATCAAACTACAAATACACCTACTCCGGAATACTGGGGATGAGAGGTCTCCCCAGCACAAAGCCCAGAAGTTAATCTCTCACACCTCTAACTTCTTTTGTCATCTGGTGGAAGATGAAAGCACACATGAAATGTAGGTATTGCTAATGAATTAGTCACATTACTTACTAAATCTGTCTAGAGTAAAATACATCATATCTGAAATATTTTGAACCAGAATTAAAAAGCTACATACACTTTCTCACTATTCCGTAAAAATAAGCAAGCTGACCAGGAATAGACTAGACAAGTCCAAAAGCCCTTCCCAGCCAACACTAAGCATGATTTATCATGAATGGTTGAATAAAAATCTGTTGGCAATTTACCCGCAAAGATAGATTCAACAACA